GCGATACTTCGGGCGCAGTTTAAGGCAGGCTTGTGTGCTGGCAGGTTGGACTGAGGTCACGCAGGAGACCTGATCCTGCCAGAGGGCTCTGCCAAACCCCAACATTCTGGGATTCTGTGATTCTGTGGAAGTTCTCACCCCGCAGCCAAGCAGCGGCAGCCGACTGTGAGAACACTCCTTCTCCTGCTCATCATCGAGTTAACCCGGGTGACCACAGCCGCCCCAGCAGGGCCACTCTTTCAGTCACACGGATATATCGCAGACACTCGCCTGACTGCGCCCTGACCCTCCCCTTGCAGCTCTGGCTAGCTGGAGCTCACCGGTGAGGCTGGGCTGTGTCAACACCCCCGGTCGACGTGACGCAGATTAGCGGGGAGCCGGTAACCATCAGCAAGAAGGCGGCAATCTGACAGTGACTTTTCCTGACATGACTGTACTTACAACGACAGCCTGGAAGTGTCTCGCTGATGAATGATGCAGCAGATGCAGAAGGCTAATGCTCTGACGCGGTAACAGCTGGGAGTGGAAACTGTTGCTTCTTGATGAGTATATTCTATGGGGTGCAGAAACGCTGAAGCCAAACTAGGACACTCTGGAAGCTGTTACAGAACAGCGAACTGTCCAGAAATTTTCCTACTTCACCCACAAGACTAACACAAACAAGAGGGCGAATTCCCCGCGTTAAGAAGGGCAAATGTTCAGAACAATGTCATGTTTCCTTTGGCCATAATAAAAAAGCACCATTCGGAGCTCACCAGCACAGAACTACCAACACCGAACGCTTCACAGGGAGTCAGGGGCAGGTTCAATATTTACACGACAAAGAAGTGCCACCACGGTTTAGCAGCGTTGACAGAAGTCAGCAAGGGCTTTGCTGTGGTTTAGGAGGCGAGCCTGCCCCGGAACAGGGGTTAGCAGGGCCACACCGCTGCACCACGGGATTTCTGCGCAGCTTCTTCTGAGGCGCCTGCCCCTGCGCGAGGGGAGACAGCCTGACAGCTCCTCCTCTTCCACACCCACACCAGAGCCGAGGCAAGCCAAGTCAGGCAGCAGTGTGGACCCACCACGAGAACATCCAGGTTGACCCCACCGGAAGCAGAGCACGCTCATCTCCGGCACGGTCACACCAGGCTCTGCACAGAACGGTGCGAGGGCTCTGCATCTTCCAGCCTCCCAGCTCGCCTCAGATCCCCGACCACCCCGGGCTGCAAGCCTCCCAAAACCTGCCAGATGCTGCGGATTCAGACGGGAGCCTCCGAGGACACTGGCATTCAGTGGGAGGCAGCCCGATCCAGACCGCTGCTCTGACCTGCACCGTACCATCCCACCGGCTGCAGCCTGCGACACCTCGTAGTGCAGGACCCTCGGGCCCAGGTGCTACGGCGAATGCGGACATCACCAATGGAGGCGCCTGATGGACGTGCTACGAGGATCAGGTCTCCTGCGTGACCTCAGTCCAACCTGCCAGCACACAAGCCTGCCTTAAACTGCGCCCGAAGTCTCGCCATCCGAGACACCTTCGCTCCAGTAGCCTCAGGAGCAGTGACACAGAATCACAGAATGGTCGGGGTTGGCAGGGACCTCTGTGGGTCACCCAGCCCAGCCCCCTGCCCAAGCAGGGTCACCCAGAGCAGAGGGCACAGCACCGCGGCCAGGCGGGTCTCGAATAGCTCCAGAGAAGGAGACTCCACAGCCTCCCTGGGCAGCCTGGGCCCGGGCTCTGTCACCCTCAGAGGGAAGAAGTTCTTCCTCGGGTTCAGCTGGAGCTTCCTCTGCTTCAGTTTGTGCCCGGTGACCC